GACATGAGTTTTGGTTTCAAGAATTTGGGGTGCAGTTCCCCCCAAAACCCTGCACCAAACTTCTTGAAACTTGTCAGACTTCATGCTCTCAGCAGAGGCTACCACCCATGCAAGTTTCACGCAAATCAGAGGCAAAACAACAAAGTTACAGATATTTAATTGATTCCCCATTATACCCTATGGCCAGATCTCCGAAGTGGTTTGGAAGCTCCAAACCACTTGGAAAGCCTAACGAAGCCAGCACTTCAATCCAGATATGCTGCTTTGGATGCTGAAGCATCTGAAACTTCTCTAGATCTGAAGCACGGTCCAAAGCCTCACACAGCCCTACTGGAGACCAGTAAGCAGATTCTGCAGAAGGCTAAGAGCATGTATATCTAGAGAGAGAATTTTGGCAGGTTTGGTGAATGTTTCTTTGTGCCTGAGTAACCAGAAGGAGCAGATAGGGATTTCATTTTCTACTAACTGTTATAAATTATAAATCATGATGTTTTTATTCACCTATCCATCCCTTTACTCCTAGACCTGAACAATGGAATCACAGGGCATGAATTTTCAAACTGTGTTAAGGAATTCCTCCCAGAATAGTTGCGTATTTCTTGTGCTTGCCACTAGAGGATGCCATGTGAACATATTGCTCGGCTGACTATATCAAAGGTGCTTGTGATTCCTAGCAGAATTTAGGAGATTGTTCTGCTGAGTGAAGCCATGAATACAGAACTACATTAAAACAGAAAGACCAAACATAGAGTATAAGCTGCTTTTCTGTAAAACCTGAGTTCACCCCGTCAACCCTTGATATTGCAGCAGCAAAAATGTGTGCAGTTGCATCCTGCCATAAGATCTCTAGCCACGATCATTGAATAGTGTCAGAGCACTGAGGTTAAGTGAACCACGGGGCCAACCATGGGGGTAGTTTATAACAAAATGGTCTGCAAAGGAAGTTTGCCAGTGTGCCCAGCGCTGAGGCTTCTTTTTAGTTAATTTAGGATATCTGAATTATATGACGCTTCCAAGAAAGATTCTAGAAGCAACAAAGAAAATGTAGTCTAATTTCCTGGGTTTTCAAGTGCTTTTGTAGAGCTTTCCTTTTTTCTAGTACTTAAAATTATCATTACCTGTGGTCAGAACAACATTTCATCCCAACTCATAGTATAAGTAAGTAATATAACTAGGTGTAATGTGAATCCCCATCTGAGGGATCCAGGACTGGCCACTGTCAGAGACAAGATAGAGGACCTAAGCTCACACTGGAACATATCTATATCCAATTGAATTCTTTCATGTCTCAAAGGAATTTTTTTTTACACTTGGAAAAGTGGTTGGTTGCTTTTCTACACATTAGCATATGGAATTTTTATCAGAGAGTTTTCTCAACACACCTCTGGATTAGAGTGAGTAAAGCATTCCTTGTTAAAGGGCTGTATACATACTTCCTATTTTCTAAACCAGGGTTTCCCACAGGTTCCTGCCTGATTCTCTGAGAGGGAGACCCTGGCACATGCCTACTAGGGGTGTGCAAAACAGGCCATATTCAATTTGGATTTGGATTTGGCCCGAACCGGGGACAATGATTTGTTTCATTGATTTGGATCACTGTCCCGATTTGATCTGGCCAAATCCAAATCTGAAGATTCAATGCTGATTCATAGAATCAGCGATTCAGCCACAGACACAGCTTTAGATGCTTTTTCTACATACCTCAAGGTACCAGGCACGGCTCGTGAACACTGCAATGGTAGTGCAGATGGAGTGTCCCACGGGAGCACGGCTGGGGGGAGGGCATGTGCTCAGCAGTGAACCCAAAAGTGGACTGGAAATATTTCTGGTCCACTTCCGGGTCCACCACTGAGCGCGTAGGGGACCCCCTCCCCCCTGTGTCCCCCTGGCTCAGAGATCAGCTGCAGGGGGACCCGGGTGCTCATCCAGACCCAGGAGGCACCAATCATCAATCTGGGGAGCAAGGACAGGGGTCCCCTGCACACGGTCCCTGCTGGACCTGGAAGTGGACTGGAAGTGCTTCTGGTCCACTTCCAGGTCTGCTGCCAAGTGCACTGGGGACACCCCCCCCCCCCGCCAGACACACACACACACACACACACACCCACACACACCCCCGGGGCACGCCCCCCCCCCCCCAGACACACACACACACACACACACACACACACACACTCCCGTGGGACGCTCTATCCGTTCCAGCATCTCAGCATTCACGAGCCACCTAGTTCCTTGAAGTATGTACAAAAAACATTTAAAGCTGTGTCTATGTCCAAATCATCGAATCTTTCCAAATCTCTCCAAATTGATTCAGAGGGTCCCACTTTGATTTGGAGAGATTAAAGGGTCTCCTGATTTGATTCAGATTGGGAGATTTGGCTGCCGAATTGAATCAGTGACCGAAGCTTCACACAGCCCTAATGCCTACCTGTATTGTGCCAGGCTGTAGCCCCTCCACTGCCATCTCCAGAACCTCCTGCTGAGGTTCTGGCTATACAACTCCCTGTGCCTTTTTGTTTATGCACTCCTTATCTGCAGCTCCACCAAGTCCCAGAAACTTCTAGTCAACCTCCTCCTGACCCTAGCCAAGCTAGTGATCTATCTGACCAGGAAGGAGGCTCTGGCCAGGAGGACCCCCAGGACTGCAGGACCACTTTCCTGGCCCCTGTCTATTCACATCTCCGGGCAGAGTTTCACTGGGCAGCATCCATTGCCTCCTTGGACTCATTTGAGAGCCAGTGGGCGCTGTCCAGCGTGCTCTTCTCCGTGTCCCCTCTCAAAGCACTCATTTTTAAACTATGACCTTCATTCCTGTCCCTGCTTTGTTCTTTTGTTGTCTCAAGTAGCAGTTGGCACATGTCTACTAGCCCTCTCCATTAACAGGGCAGGCTAACTGTTGCTCTATGTCACAAATATGTGTCAAATAGTTCTGCTTGCTTTTCTGAAAGGGAGACCCTGGAGTGTGCCAGACTGCAGCCCCTCCCTCCACTGCCTGCTCCAGGATCTCCCACTGAGGTTCTGGCTGGGGCTGCACTCCTACACCTTTTTTTTTTTTAATGCACTCCCCATCTGCAACCTCACCAAGTCTCTGGACCTCCTGGCCCTAACCAAGCTAGCAATATACCTAACCAGGAAGAAGGCCCTTGGCAGGAGGACCCCCAGGCACTGTGGGGCCTCTTTCCTGTCCCTTGTCCATTCACATCTCCAGGCAGTTTCACTGGGCAGTGTCCATTGGCTCCTTGGACTCATTCAAGGGCCAGTGAGTACTGGTGTGCTTTGCTCAGTGTCCCCCCTCGGTGTCCCCCCTCGGTCATTAGTTTTGAAACTATGACCTTCACTCCCATTCCTGTTGTCTCATTTTGTTGTCCCAAGTGATCACTGATGTACCCTCAGAGGCCCTTCTCATTATACGTCTACAGACAACTCCCACTTAGCACTCTTAATTGGTTCCTGAAAAAATGAGCATTAAGTGAAACAAGCATTAAGTGAAACCAAAAGTTTTTGATGACCCAAGATGGCAACTGGAAGCCATAACAAAACTTGCTGAGCACTAAGTGGAATCAGGTATCAATTTAAAATGAGCATTATAGCAAAACAGAGCTAAGCAAAACAGCGTTAAGCAGAGGTTGCCTGTACTTGTTGGTTGCCCATGTCCCCAAATGGCACATCAAAAGGCCTGCCTGCTTTCCTGCAATACCGAGAGCTCTGCTATACAATGTAGGCGTGTGTGTGGGTGTGTATAGTTGGGTAAATTTTTTAATGGTAGATATTCTCTGAAAAAATTGACTTTGGTTTGGCCCAAAACTGAATTAGTCAGATTCAGATTTTGATTATAGCAGAATAAAACATTTCTATGTGTTCAGTACCATTCACAAACTCACATGGGGGAGAAATACGGTGTATTTTTAATTATCTAAAATATCTCTCAAACATGCAGTCGATCCAATAAAATATACCACCATAAACAATTTCTTTGCCTCTCTCACGTTTCCTGAATTATCATGGCTAAGTCATTACTGTAGCACTACTTTTATTTATTGTAGCCCAATGATTAGGCCTCTTACGTGGGATGTAGAAGACCTCATTTAACTCCATTCTTTGCCTTATTGTAGCACAGGGATTTAAATCCAGATTGCCCATGGTTCAAACAAGTATCCTGAGCCCCAAACTATAGTGCAGGGGTAGGCAATGTTTTTTGGCCGAAGTGCTGAAAAAACCACAATGTCTACATTGGAAGGTGCTGGAGTGCCGGCATGCCAGAAAAACAACACGAGGGCAGGATGCACCGCATATTAGTATAGATAATAATCATAAATGTTCCCATTTTATGGTAAATACCAGATTTTCTAAAAATTGTAAACCTGGTGACAATACATTTTTCTTCTAGTCCAATAATTCTTCCAAGACCTTTTCTGATCATATTAAAACTTTCCTTGGGAGAAAGTTACATTGGTTAAGAGGTGCGTCCTCAGAATTATCTGTCCTTGCTGACTTTAAAATGTCCAGCTTGTCCAAGGAATCTCCAACCTGTTCTTTCCCTGATCTAGGCTTCCCTGCTGTTAACTGTGCTTGTTATCTTATAGCTGAGCTTTTTTGGTGAAGACCGAAAAAATACATAAAACACTTCAACCTTCTTTACAACATCCATTATTAACTTCTCCTCCTTCAGAAGAGATTTTTACTTTCCTCCATTTTTCTCTTACTTCTACTATAGTTATAGAATACTTTTTGCTGCTTTTTATGTCCCTTTCTAGCTGTTTCTAAATTTTTGTGTTGACCTCCTGGATTTTCCCTCTGCATGCCTGTTCTATACTTGCATACTCATCTTTAATGATATGAGCAAGTTTCCAGTTTTTGTGAGATTCCTTTTTAATGTTCTAATTCAGTGCATAAGTTCAAATTACATACTCTCCAAATCCACAACTTCACATCCCCATCTGTGTTTGAAAACTGGCAAGATTGTTAAATAAAATCAATTGTAAGACACATGTGTTTGTTTGCATCAGAAATAAGTAAAGTTTTATTAGAGAACATACTACCAGTAGAAGGTGGATCACCAACCATGTTAAGTGACCATGGTTGGATATGAAGAGCATGATGAAATGGAAGAAAACAAGTAATGTAATAGATTTAGAAGGTGACCCAGTTGGACTTCTCAGATAGGTATATGACAAAGATGTTGCATGTCCATGGGTCTGTTCAACAAGATTCTTAGATCAGCGGGTCCTTGTGGCTCTGCTCTACTTTTAGCATGGTCTTGTCTGTCCTGTAGAAAGGCAGAAGAAAATATTATGTAACTGGAAAATCAACTCTCTCCTCCAGCATTGAATTGTAAGATGTGTCTGTTGATTTATATGTTCTCCTTTATTAACACATGTATTAGCAAGGGATGCGGGAAGAAGTTCAGGTGGTTCCAAGTTTGGAAATATGCCAGAACTTTTTTGAAACATTATGTTTATTCAGCCAGTCCAAGAGGAACTAGGGAAAACTACCTTTAATTTTAGCTACAGGTGTCTTAGGTTTTTGGAAAATGAAAAAAATGCTTCTTTTTATTTATTTATTTAATATTTTATATCTCTAGCTGCTCTATAACTGATCTTTTTTCTCTCTTTCTTTGCTTTCCACACCCTGAATCTTCCCAAACTCTTCAATTTTCATTTAAAGTGTTTTACAGATCAGAGCAAGTGTAAGTCATGGGGGTGGGGTAGGGGGTGTTAGTTACCAGGTCTCCCCCATACTGACCCCTAGCTAATGACACTTGGACTCTTACTGAAGATGTAGCAGCTCACATGTTTTTAGATGCAGATGTCTGTTCCTTCTGAACTGGCCACTATGGATCCTATCACAAAAGGCAATATGCCCATATATAGGCTAGATAACATATCCTAAAATATAAAAACCTGGATTGCTAATAAAATAACACCTCCTCATAAAGAGAGTTCTTACCTGTCATCTCACCACCATGGGACTGAGAGTGGGAAGTCGAAGAACAGGAGTGGGAAGAGTAGGACTGGGAGGACCTACCACCTCCTTGAATCCCTCCTTGAGAAGAGCTGTGGAAGAGAGAGGAGTTAGGATGAATGTAACAATAGCTAAATAATTCATGCATGCATAGGAGATGTTGGAGAGCTGGACTTTTCCTGCAGTTTGGAAGTATTAGTTGCATTTCCTGCTTCCTCAGCATTTTAGGCATTTTAGAAATGGAAATAATAACACAGTTAAAGACAGGTTCTTGGCATTGTACCTGTTGAACAGGTGGCAGCAGAGAGTGCAGTACACTGCAGTTTTGTGTGCTGTTCCTCAGCTTTTCCAAAAGGGACAGGGCAAGGTGTAAATCAATGATTTGATACTTATTTGAACCCCCCTTTCCCAATTCAGCAGATGTAGATTCATTAACATAAGACATGCCCGCCTTCAGTGAAGATGGTGTGCAGAACCCTTTGCACAACTTTCCACCCAGGCACTACCCACTGTTTCCTAATGACTCTATATCCCCTTTAAACAGTCATTTGGACTGGTCTCTCTTTTTGCCCTGACACCGCTGCAGTGCACGTACGTAATGTCTTGCTGTCCTTCCTGGAGCAGCCCGTGGTACTGTGCAATCTCCTGTTCCAGGCGGGTCTTGATGCCAAGGAGCATCTTGTACTCTTGGTTTTGACTCTCCATTTCACAGCGCAACTGAGCCAGTTCCTCCTCCACACAGTTGATCATGGCCTGGATCTGTTGCAGCTGGGCACCGTAACGAGCCTCTGTTTCTGCCAAGTTGTTTTCCAGAGATGCTTTCTGGGAAGTTAAAAAGAAAATGCAGAATGGGTGCACTTGGTCAAATGCGATTCTTTTGCTACTGGAATTTGGGATTTTCTAGTGCAAAGTTGTGTGAGCCCTTTGAGGGAACAGCTTTGCCAAGCTGGGTGCTCCAGTGGTTCAAAAAGAAGGGCAAGGCATGACATTTTTCCCTCCATCTCCATGTGGACATGTCCTAGAGTATGTGAGGATAATAGCTGGGACCACCACATACCATGCTAAGCTGCGTCTGCAGTTCAATTTCCAGACTCTGGAAAACGCGTCTCAGTTCAGTGAGCTGGTGGCTACTTGTTTGCACCTCCTGACCACTTGATGTGACCTGCTGATTCACCTCTTCCATCTGAAACACACAAGCACAGAAGAAGACTCTTTAGTTGTGAGGGTCTTTTTTACCTCTAAAGATCATGGAGACTTTCACTGTGCATTGAATATGGTGACTTTAGTGAGCATAAATGTCACAAAACTAATAACTCTGGTTTGAAGCTAGCCATCAACAGGCTGAGCTAACTGCTGATCAACAATCACTACTTTTACAGCCCTCCTATGCCACCAGTATTTCCCAGTATACACCTGCCCACATCTGCAACACCCTGTGCTCTTATTCCCACACACTATACTACCAGTGAACTCAAATGTTAATACATGTCATCCCCTCTTTCTTAATATAGTGAGCCACATATTAATCTGTTAACATTACTCAATGCCAATGAGTTTTATGATGTGAATCATATTGACCTTTCACTTACATGTTACTGCCTCTCTTTTCTTTTCCTTGAAGATGGAGATAATTTATTATATTCATAACTTACCTTGACTTCATACCACTGTTCAACCTCCCTTCGGTTCTTTGCAATTATTTCCTCATATTCCTGTCTCATGTCATTCAGTATCTTTGTCAGATCTTGGCCAGGAGCAGCATTGACCTCCACATTCACATCACCACCAGTCTGGGATTGCAGTAGTCTCATTTCCTTACATGAAAGGTGAGATATCAAAGTTAGCTAACAAAAGACAGCAACATCCAGCTCTGAATGAAGCTTTTTCATTCGTGGCCCATCTCTGGAGCAGGGTCCAATCTGAACTCCACAATGAGTAATGATGAGTTAGCAGCACACTGTTGTTCAGTTATAGCTAAAGAAGGGAAACTGAAGGAACCCCTGAGTGTTTCTCCAGAGAAAGTGTGGGACAATTTCACCATTTCTACCCACTTGGGTGTTCAAGTCTTGAACTGATGTGAATCTCATGCTGGGGTATTCAACTGAGTAAATTAATTAAATAGTTACAGTGAACTCTTTTTCTTAACTGGTAGGACTGCAATGATCGGGAACTTGATGTTCCAATACTAAACAGAGCATCTGGCAGCAAAGAACCATTTCACCAGGATGGCTCTTTAAATGTAGCTTTCTTTCAGTTGTATTGCTTTAATGGGTCCTGGATCTTACCTCCTCATGGTTCTTCTTGAGGGTGAGCAGCTCATCCTTCAGGGTCTCAACCTCTAATTCCAGAGTAGACCTTACACGCACAAGTTCATCCAGGAAATTGCGTAAGCCATTGATGTCTGCCTCCACACCCTGGCGGATGGCCAGTTCATTCTCATACCTGAATCACAGCAAAAAGGACAAAAACATCAGTGTATGAGCCAGTGACAGAGCACTCCTTGCCTTAGCCATTTTGTCTATGAATGAGTCTTTGCAGACCTGTCTGCCACTGCATGCTGCACAGACCATCAGCCAAGTGGCCAAAAAAATGTAATGTCTTTCCTTGTGCTGTAGCCCATTCCCTAATAACAGATCTTACTGAGATGTCCCCCATCAGTCTCTCCATGTTTTGATGTAGTTTAATGTTAAATTTATAAGCAAAATATGGACGTGACGACAGACAGGGGAGATAGTGGGCCAGTGCACAACTCAATAGATATATTTGTTTGGTATTTTGTTCAGTATGAACTGGATTTGTCATTACCAGAGAGAGATCATTAAGGAATATTTAAAAATCTTTTGTAATACAACTACTCTCATAATATTCCTTTGTTAAGCACTCCTGTCCTATTATCCTTCCTTAGATGACTACTTTGATTGCTCAATTTATGAGTAAGATGTGAAAGAAGCACATTTCTCTGTCATGGAGGGAAGTACTCACTTCATTCGGAAGTCATCGGCAATCATCTTGCTGTTATCAATGTCCAGAATCAATTTGTTGTTGTCCACAGTTGCAGAAATGATCTGGAAAAGAGGAGGTTACAGAGGTGACTTTCCACTATGAGAGCTCTCCATGGTCAAGAAGTTGTCCAAATGTATAGGGGACACAAACATACAGAAAATCTGCTCTTGAAACTTCTTTTCCCAGTGGTGATGTGATAAGAGTATCTGAGACAGCTCAGGAAGAGATCATTCTGAGCAATCCCTGTTCGCCCCAATATAACTGCAATACTGCTCATACAGGAAAACAGTTGGCATTTTCTTTTTGGCTTCAGTTAGTAGGAACAATGTTGGGCCTAGTCAGCATCCATATTGTTTTACAGTTTTTGCTAGCTTAAAGAAACAAAGTGTATTTGTAAGACAGTCCTCCTCGCACAGTGATGGTTCAGATTTACAGACTGTGGAAACCCCAGTTTAGAACTGTGATAGCTACCACAAAGAGATCTCAGAGTCCATATAGGATTAATTTAATTGTGTTAGGTATTGTTTCCTTTCCTTGTCCACATGTCGTAAAACATCCTGGTAACAAGTTCCTTTATCAGGAATACTTCATGAAAGATTATACTAGAAAATATTTCTGGATCATGCTTAGGCTTGACAGAGAGGCCACAAGATTCATGAGATTTGCACACCCAGGCTGCATCTGCGTGAGTGGCAGACGGCACAGTTGCTACTGCACAGTCATTTAGTACTTGCTTGACCAAGTAGCAAATGACTGCACTGTAACTGCTGCTACTGCACAGCACCATCCCTGCATGGTTTTTTTAGATGCTAGTGTGCAGTAGCGTCACCATCACGGCACCTTAGCAGCAGGCTACAGTGCAGAAGCTCATTGCATCCCCAAAGTAGACAATATGGGGGGTAGTCATGCCTGATATCACAGAGAAGACAGGATCAAATCTAAAAAATAACATCCTTTGTAAGAGGACAGATGATCTTTACGTGATCTGCCATCAATACTTGTAAAACCAAAGAAATTTCACAGCAAAACCCATCTCAGGTGTGATTTTTCCCCTTAATCTGTGGGGCTCAGAAGGAATGAAGAAAGGAAGTCACTGGGAGCTGAGTACACATCCCTGACTCAGAACCACCTGCCCTCAGCAGAACTTAGGGCTTCACAGGTCCCTCAGTTATTTATCCTGGGGTGGCACTAGTCAGAGCCCAGCTCTATCTTTTTCCACCACAATGTGTCCTCAGAAGAACCCTTATAAATCTGTATTTTCCTGCGGGGTGTGATGGAGGGTACCTGGGGAAAAGCAGCAGCACAGCTGCCTCTGCAGATTTCTGCCATCAAAAGGAAAATTCATCGCTATCCAGCTTTAGTGCTGTGCAGCACATTTTAGGAGACTGGACATTCTTTTTTTTTCTCTATTTCTACTACACCAAGGTTTCAAAAAGAAATCCCACCAAATGAGAGATCATGCCAATGGATAGTAAAAAACACATTCTCACCTGATTCTGGAGTTGCTCAATTGTCTGGTAATATGGACTGTAGTCTTTGGAGATGCTGGGTCCTTGCTTCCTATACCACTCCCTGATTCTTTCCTCTAGGTCAGCATTTTCTTCCTCTAGCCTGCGTACTTTGTCCAGGTAGGTAGCCAGGCGGTCATTAAGGTTCTGCATGGTTGTTTTTTCATTGCCAGTCAGCAGGGCCCCATCCCCACCCCCAAAGCCACCTCCAAAGCCACCTCCAAAGCCACCTCCATACCCACCACAAAAGGCACTACCCTGTCCACCACCAATGCTACCACCACTTACTCCTCCTCCATACACAATGCTGCATGCTCCCCCACCATAGCTTCCACCACCCAGTCTTCCACCACCATAAGTACTGCCACCTGCTACAGAGGAGGTATATTTTTTAGTAGAAATAGAGGAGCTCCCACCACCACAGCTACCAAAACCACCACCTCCGCCACTTCTGTAAGAGCAGCTAGAGGTTTTTTTGATGCTACAACTCATAGTGAGAGAAAGGAAATATCTGACCCCAAAGCTATGTGTGCTGGCTGGTAGGGAAGCTGACTACAAACTGTGCCTTTGGTGCTCTCTATTTATATGTTCTTCTCTGGGTGTCAGTGGTTGGTCTAGCTTCTCATTAATTTTTTGCCAGCCTTATGATTTATGCCCAGAAATATGTGCTGAAGAGAATTTTTTTTGGTCCTTTGGACAATATTGCATAAGCCCATTGTATGTGTCTGTGCTGATTCAGATGCAAAATGGACAGTCATCTCAGGTGGGTGGTGCTATGTTAGATTTTGGGTGAGATAATGGATGGCCTTGTTAACCTATGATTGAGACTCATTGCATCACTACTTCTTATGTCATGGCAAGAAGAGGAAACCAAGGTCCCATACCCAGTTATTCTCATTCCTTCAGTCTCGTGTATGGAGAAAATGACGTAATTCAACTTCTATCTCTACCTTATGGTCCTAAATAATAAAGCTCAACTTTTCTGTGGTTGTAGTGAGTCTTCATTCATTCATTCTTTCATTTTGTTCATTCATTCTGCCTGAAGAACTTGATCACTTTTTTGCAATTTAGGAACTTTTTTTTTACACAGCAGAAGAAAAGACATGAATGTTCAGAACTGAGTTTTTTCCTCTCTGTTTTAGTTGGGATAATAATGGCATTCCTCATACATTCCCACCATTCATTTACCCGTGTGATACCTTTTTCTCTTAGAGCCATTTAACAATCGTTTGATACACACATTTTCCTTGAAAGCTACCTGTACACAAAAAAAAAACCCAAAACCAAAAACCAACTTAAGGTATTATGGCAAAAACTTAAAAAAAATACAAAAAAAGTCTGTCCACACTTCTACACATCCCTTCACCTTCACCCAGGATGGGACATACAGTGCTCGATTATTTCTATCACTATGGATTAATGTTTTGTAGAAGCTGAGAGAGTTTTTTTTTAAAAAGAGTGGAGACTGCCTTCCATAATTCTGATTGATAAAATTCTCTGGAGTGGTCTATAAACTGACACTCATGAGTCAGTTTATGTTTTCCTAAGGATCTGATACCATCACCTCTAGGACCTTTGCTTGGCCTGAAGAAATAGGGAAGTACTGTGGTTAAATATTTCCATACATCTTGTTGTGATCCCTAAAATGAATCTTTTGATACTCGTCAACTTCAAAGTAACCATGTACAGGAGGGATCAAAACTTCATTCAGAATATTATGGCCAGCACATGCAGTGAAATGTATGCCCTTGTCTGGAGTTAGTTGGGAAATGTGCAGTAATTGCAAGTAAGGGGAGTATTCATTGAATGTATTCTGTATTCTGTTCATCCCCCATAAAACACCTTGTCTAACTCCAGTTATCTCCAATCCAGGATGTGACAGTTTCAGAAAATGCTTTTGCCCACCACAGTAGTTTTGATAGTCCCAACTCCTGACTTCTATCCAAATTGAACCCACAAACGGTTCCCCTCAAAGAAAAAGGAGAAGATTGCCTCTCAGTTACTGCAAGCTAAAAGCATACACCTGAGCACCTGCTGTAGTGTAGCTGAGTGCTATACATTCATGTCTTAGCTTCTCTATTAGTTCTTTGCTTGTGTGTACATGCCCTTCAGTTCTCTGCATGCTCTAAACAATTTGTTTTAGAGAAGCTGCTGAAATTGCTTGAGTCACTGTTATAAATGTGAATGCTTTTTCTTTGGTGTGCGTGATTCCTTAATCACACTTTCCTCAACAGCAAATTCAGCTGCTTCTTCATCCTTCCCTATGAGGTTGCAGCTGCTCATTAGCATTAATTCTGAAGTGTTTACTTTGCATCTTCTTCTCTGCATCCCTATATCATGGCATCTGACCACAACATTTCTGAAGTCTCCAAAGAGCTACATTATATACCTTTCTTGAAACATGAATATTTCTTTCTGTTATACTTTTAAATAATTTAATTACGCATACTCAGTGCTCTAAGAAAACATTTAATTTAGGGCCAAGTTAACCACTCTTGTTATAGGTTGTCCATATTAACAAAGTATAGCTCTCAAAAATATAAAGTAGAGATGGGACAAAAACAGAACTTGGATTTGGTTTAAAGATGCATTCACCCTCTCTGAAAGCATTTATTTGGTATCAACCCATTAGAAATACTGAAGTCTGTTATAATTGATCCATGTTTTAAATGTATTGCTTGGCATGAGACATCCATTGGGAGACCAGGTGAAACAGAGTGGTTGATAAGGTGCATACTATCTATGAGTTTGCCTTAGTCAATTCCAATAATCAGGCTAAAGCCAACTGTAGATTAAGCAAATACAAAGTCTTTCATGTCAATCCAATATCTGTTCATTTCTTCAGCCTTGAGAAAACAAAATGAAGTCAGGCCCTTTTTTATTTACATTTAGGTTCAGAGATACCTGTCTAAGCTCTATGTTCACTCTCTGCATTAGGAAACACAGCATATTTTTATCATAATGCAGGAGACTTCTTCCAAAGTGATTGAGAAAGTAACTGCCTTCCCGATACTGAAGTATCTGTTTGAAATGATGATGGATTTGTATGATAAGCCTACATTAGAAGGTTTGAAGAAAGCCATTAAATACCTTCCTGGGAACAAGGCATCCAGCAATGATCGTTGGCCTGCTGAAATCTACAGATATGCCGACAACAAATTGCTTTGAAAGCTTTATGAAGTTATACTACTCTGCTGGAAAGAGAAAGCGGTACCACAAGATTTCAAAGATGCTCAGTTCGTACAATTATACAAAAACAAAGGGGATAGACAGGATTGTGGCCACTATAGAGGTATATTCCTGTTGAACATTGTTGGAAAAATTGTCACTTGCAACATGCTCCCTAAGCTACAATCTCTTGGGGAAAGAAGAGGTATTTTCAGTCAAGCAACTGCAAGATAAGTGTAGAGAAAAACAAATATCACTGTGCATCGATCTGACAAAGGCCTTCTATACAGTCAACCAACAGGGCCTTTTTCCTGTTCTGAAGAAACTGCATTGTGTCCCCAAACTGTTGAACAGCATTGGCTCATTACATCAAGGTATGAAGGCACCTGCAGTGTATGAAACAAAGAGTCAAATGACTTTGACATTAACAATGGGGTGAAACAGGGGTATGTCTTAGCCCCCATGCTTTTTAACATCTACTTTTCTTTATATTCCTGTTTCTTCATGCATTCAAGGAAAGCAATGATGGCATTTATCTTTGGACCAGATTAGACAGAGGCTTGTTCAACTTTGCAGGGTTTAGAATGAAAACCAAGTGAAAGAGTTGGTTCTGAGATGTTTACTGTTTGAGGACAATGCATCCTTGGTTGCCCACAGTGAATCTTCCCTGCAAAACCTCTTGGGCAGATTTCCTGAATCATGCAAGAGCTTTGGGATGGCAATTAGTCTCAAGAAGACTGTGATTATTTACCAAGGGGTGAAAGAACCCATACCTGACATCACTCTAGAGGATAAATCTTTTGGTGTCATTGACAGTTTTTGCTACTTAGGTGGTACCATCAGCAGGA